AAACCGAAAATCTAATGAGAAAACCTTAAAAAAACAACAATTTTCAATTGTCATCACATGAAATCATCCAACAACAATGTGCAATGAAGTAAATTTATTAAATTAATCTTTGAAATAAGTGTACGTCAAGCTATATTAACTGTAAATGTACTAACTTTTTTTTACTTTTTATAATCTAATTAGAATCTGTGTACATTTTGAGTATATGACCATGCATAAATTAATATATTCTTGAAGATGTCTTGATAATTGCACATTTTTTTTGTAATTGCAAAAACAAAATAACATTTTTAATTTTACAAAGATATTAATTCAAATAGTTAAAAATATAAGTATTAGGTCAGGACTAAAAATGTAATACAATATTGGTGATAAAATTATATGTTTTCTTCGATGTTTACTAAGATTTCTGTTTTCAAGATAAACATTTTTGATAAATAAGTTAATTTTATGGTGATTAAATATAATAATATTTTTTTTAAATTTTCATTAATTAAAATATAATAACTGATTTGACGAAATAAAATATACAAATACTATTTTTAAATATTTTGAAAACAATTTGAATCTTTGGTTACATAAATTATTTTTATTTTTTTATATTTTGATAATAAATTGCAAAAAATATGTTAAATAATATGACGATATTTACGTTAGCACATTTATTTAGATAAAATATGGTATTTTAATACCAAAATAAGATTTAAATAAAAGTTTTTTCCATTAGATTATATTAAAAAATTACTTAATAGTAATTTGATTATTTATTTTTTCTTTATGAACATTTATAAATGGTTTTAATTAGTAATTCATAGTTATTATATGGATTTATTTTAACATAATCGATAAAAAATATATTTTTATTTCTAACTTTTATTACTAACTTTTTATTGTTTATAATATTTATGAAAAATATTATATTTATTATAAAAATTCGGTTACTTTACTTCCATAAAGAATACTTTATGTACCATTGTGTACTTGTTAATTTCATATTCAATAGTTTTAAACAACGAGTGTTGCCATGGCTATAGAAATTGTTGTTTTATAAATTATTATTTTAATCGAAATGTATATATGGAAATAAATTATTCACATACATTTACTTAATACATAAATACTAATATATGAATAATTATTTTAGTTTATACAATAAAATGGTTTCTATGAGCATTATTTTAATATATTTCAATAGTTATTTTAACAAGAAATATTTGCTATATCATATGATAGTTACACCATAAGCAATATATTATTTTTTATGATTTATTATAATTGGTGACGTTTTAAATATATTGTAGAGTACTTACTACTTTATTGTTTGGCTTTACTTAAAGAGCGCAGAAAGTAAGGTAAAAGGGAAAAAATAAATAAAATAACTTGCAATTCAATTTTCGCATTATTTATATTAACTCAATTACCAGCGAAAATATTTTTTAATGAAAATATAATTGATTAGACAGCATAGAGACAATGTTTGTATAAAAATGCGGTAGTGTTGCGAATCAAACATTTTAATTATAATTCTGCAACGTTTGTACCATCCGTTTTTTTATTTTTTTGCTTGGACATAAATATTTTAATACAAGATAAATTTGACCAAACTTTAAAATTTTTGAAGATTTGTTATCGATTTAACTTAATTGTTTTCGAAATAATTTTTAAATTGTATGACCTATCGTGGATTTTTAGTCTTATGTTACTTACCTTTAGTATGTATGCAGATTCGTATGGCAAAAACAACACACAAATTTTAAATAAATGTATAAATAAATTAATAAAAATACATATAATATTTAATTATCTGTGATATATTTTATAATCCAAGTGAAATTTCCACAGTTACAATTTGGACTGATCTTCAGTTTCCACTTATACATCATATGTCCGCATTTTCCGTGTCCAGTTCTTAGTCGATTAAGAAGTATCCAATCCTATTGTGAGAGTTCGAACCCTTTTACTCTTTATGTGGTAAACTATTGTCAAATTTTTACGTCAAACCGTACTATTCAGTCATTCTTTCTTTCATTTATCCGAACTGCAGAACTGTGACTGAGTTAGTTTTCTGGCCTTGATCCATGGTATTTTTCTTGACTTTAGTTTTATAACAGGTGTATTTTTCAACTTTTTGTAGATGATTGAGTTCTTATTTATTGAGTAGATATTGGTCTTAATAAATAGTTTCATTAATTCTTCATTCCTTTTGGTTTCTGGTGGTGCTTTTGTTATTTGAAAATACCAAAAACCATGGATCGGTATTAATTGTATCACTCCGCTCATTAACATTATGGCGTTGTTTAAAACGTATCCACTTTTCCTGACTTCACGTTATTTGACCAAACCGAAGCTACTGTGGATAAAACTAACGAGATTGTTGCCGTTCTCAGAGAAGTAGCATCTGTCACCTCTCCTCAATCCTATTCCAGCTAGTTTCGGTACTAGGTTTACTCTTGTTCTATGTTTTTTCTATATTTTCTCAATATGGTTCCTTAATAATAACGATTGATCTAATGTTACTCCTGAATATTTTACTGTTACGTTATGATTTACTTATGATAAACTGAACATAGAGTAACCTGTTTGCTTTTTTATTATTTAAATGAAATCCACAAAAACTTCTCTTATCTATCTGGGTTCGATCTTATCCATCATTTGTAAAAGTGATTTTTGAGATGTTAAGGTCATTTATTAGAGTACTTTCACTTTTTTCCGTATCCTGATGACCAACCGAACTTGTATCGGTTGGTATTTAACATTTCAAACGTTAAATACCTTACAAATATTTTTAATTTAAGTATCTTTTCCGTTAATTCACTACCGTTCGATAAATGTTCATCTATTGCTCTAAAAATTGTATCTTATTTAATCTAATCTAAATAAAATTAAACTCATAGTCTAATGGTTAATGACTATTAACCCGAAGCAGAAGGTATCTGGTTTTGATCTTTTATCGTAACTAAAGTTATTTGGTTTTTTTTTTCAAAAAATTTGAACTTTAATTTTAAAAATGCTTAAAAATGTATTACTTTGTATGTGAACCTAAAACCTCGCTGCGCGAGTAAATCACGTATATAGACCATAAATACTATACTATAATTAAACGATAATTCACAAAGTTATCATTTTATAACACGTAATAACGTAGATACGGTTAAAAAAAAATAGTGGTAGTGAGTAATGGAGAAGGTCCTAATTGAAATTCTAATACAACCATACGTGTTCAAAATATAGTCACAGTAATATTACAGGCAAGAAAAAATTTAAAAAAAATGTCATTATAGATATGGTTCATGAGTACAGTAAGACACTATGTAGTCTACATACCTTTCAAGTTTGTAATTAAGTTTCAAAGTACTACATAGATAATAAGCAAAATTATAACCAACACATTTTTTAATTAAAAAAATATCGATCTTATGTGTTTTTTTTAACATCAAAATATATCTAGCTTAACAAAAAAATCACACGCTTTCATCACAAGAGTTCCAAATTTTACAATGGCTATTTTGCGTCCATAATGAGAATTGCATTATTCTTACCGAGTAATTAGTTAAAATGACATTAGCATTTTTGTAAATAAATAAATATATACTTATTTGTTGTCAGAGAAAAATAATTTCTTAAAATATTGTTTAAAAAAAGTAAAAATTAGTATTTTCATGTATACAAATTATTCATGGTTAATATTTTTCGTATAGGTTATATAATTATGATATTGAATACTTAAAGTTAACCAAATATATAAAAGAAATATTAATACATTTCTAATCATTGATTTTTTGCGAGTCGTTTGAGTTGGAACTCATCTATTAAATGGCGTGTCAAAAATCAATATTGAAATTGATCAAAAAAAAAAAAAAATATTCAAATGTTTGATCTGTTCGTAATTAATCATTGCAACATTATAAACCACTTCTAGGAAATGGAATAGTTTAGGACTAAAAAATATTTAATTTGAGCCATGTTTCCGACCGATGTATAATACCATACTGTAATTGTGACGAGTTTAAGAATAATTTTTTTATATTTTCATTAGGGTTTCAGTATAGATGTATAATTTTATTTATTATCATAGTAAAATTGTGATGAAAATTAATGATTTCTGCATAAGATCCTTAAAAATAAGGTTTCAACTTCAAATCTATTGTTTAAAAAAATGTTGGTGTTTTATTAAAAATAACTTTTTTAATATAAATAAATTCATATTTAAATACCTATGTATGTATGTTTTTTACTCATAATTAATAATTATTATTGCTCTTTACAGATAGTGGAATACCATTGGTTTAAAAATGAAATATGACTATAAATCTTTACGTTTTTGTTATGAGCATAAGAATTAAACGCTCCAAGCTGGGTAAATTTTGTTCAATATTTTAAAATAAAGTGTTACATTAATCGATAAATATCGGTTGAACACAATAATTGGCCACATGTTCGTATTATGATATCGAAGCTAATACTAATTGCCGATATACTCGTACGATTAACTTTTAATATCAATAAAATTAAACGTCACTGAATTGCGTAGGTATATAATAATTAATATAGAGCTTTTTGATCTTGATAAAATAAAGTAATACAACGTTCAAACGAATTATAAAACCGTCTAAATAAACCTCTTTGATTATTAATGATTTTGATTTAATATACGAAGATAAAGAAAATTATGCATAAGTTACATACGAGATAATCGTTTAAGGTTCATCGCTATAACTCGTATTTATTGTAATATTGTCTAATTAATCTTACTTAAAATACACTAACAATATAATTATTAATTTTGATCACTAATTAGTAATTTATTTTGAAATAAGCTTTTATAACAATTAAATAAAAATATTTTAATTTATGAAAACACAATGGAGACTTTATGGTTATTCTGTGCGATCTGAATAATAGTGAGATGAATTATTATACTCTTGCAATATTGAGCTGTAATTAAATATGTGGAATATGTGGACTTAATGAATTTTTATTTTAATGTTTTATGCTTACAGATGACTGTTACTTGCCACCAGATGATGGTAGTTGTGGAATCAATAAATTTACCTTAAAAGTAAAATACTACTTTGACATGAATAATGACGATTGCATAGAGTTCATTTACTACGGCTGCGGCGGCAACGGTAATAGATTTGACTCATTTGATGAATGCGAAAACTCATGTTTATTAAATTACTATTTTTAAAATAAGTTGTCTTCGATTAGAGATAATAATATTATTACGCGTGACTGATGTTATTTAAACGTTGACCTATCTTACGCTTGTGCGATAGTGACACAATCACGTTATCTAATTGAGACATTAAAAACGAAAACTTAAAAAGGAAAATAAACGAAAAATTATAAAAATATTAAAAACCCTAAAAAATGGCATTACCTTGCCAACAAAACCCTTAAAGAAGACATTTATACCACTAGAACAAAAATAGGCCATACGCATTTCTCCCATTTTTACCTCTTCAATCTTGAGAAACAGTCTAAACACTGACAAACAAACACCTCCATATGTCTATACTCTGGATTATGATGAAGAACTATACATCATAAACACCAACAAGGAGGAATCACTAAATGAAGTCAACACAGATATTATTTACAATTTTTACTTACATATTATTAAGTCAACCTATCTAAAATGTTCGGCTAACGACCTTAAATGTCGAAACATTATTATCAATGATAATAATAAAAATAAAAAATAAATCATATATTTATAAACCAAATATATTAACGTTTAAAGTTGACCGAAAGTTTAATTTTTTAATTCAAATATAGTAATCATAGACGTTTGTCGAGTTCGTGGTAATTCTTTTTTTCATTATAATTGATTCTAAAACGTTTTATGACGTATATTATGGCATGTGTATTGATGTTTTTCGCGTTAAAACATTTATCAGGCTGTGGAATCATATTTTGGAGAACATTTGAGATTGTTTGGGCACCCATACACCCATATTGCTTCTGAAATCTGAAAATAATCTATATCTAATGATACCTTATAATAATATGTGAAAACATTATAATCAGAAAAAATATATATAAATAGTGAACACTATACGAATCATTCAGTCGATCTTAAATACGTTTTTACCAACAATCATTGAAATTATTGTAACTATAATATTTTGAATTTTTCATGTATTCACGGTTCAAAACGAAAGAAAAAAAATTGTTCATCACTATACGATCATCATCTTAAAATATATTTAATTTATTGTTACAAATTTTATATTTACTTTCATTAAATTTAATGCAGATTAAAGGTGACGAATGAACGTTACACTCTTATTAAATGCTTTTTTTCAGGCTGTCATTAATCTATAAAATAAATTATGCATATTCAATTGATAGTACTGTACACTATATACACAGCTTAACTTTTTATATTAAATTAATTTATTATAATCGGATGATAATTAGCGTTTGATAGGTTATTAGGTGCATTATATTCACTGAAATCCTTTGACATATATTAATGTGGACATATTCGAAAAATAAAAAATCATGTCAAGGTAGATTTAAAATATTAAGCATAATGCTATTAATTCTATTATAGATAAATAACATAGATGCATTTATTTTATTGTGAAGTGTTTAATATCACACTGTGATGTTATAATATATTAATATATATAATATATATTATATGTAATTGTATTCAATAGTATTTATATTTGTTAAGTATTTTTTTGTATTTTTGATAAATGTTAATCTTAAATATTTTTATAATATATGAAAATAGATAATTTGTCTAAAAATATTTGTATAAATATTTAATCTGTTCATTGTTTATCTGTATATTGTTGTTAAGGGTTAGTTGTTTGAATAAATATTACTGTTAGATAAACTGTTGGTTGATTATTCCGTAGATAATGTTAAAATTCAGATGTTTTTACATTTCATAGTAAAGTTAATTTGTGAACTCGTTAGAATTGTAACAAATAAGAATTTGTAAAAATACAAGGACATAAAATTAGTTAGATATTTATGTGGATCTATCAAAATTTTAACAAACTCCAATTTATCCTTATCATAATTATATAAGTAATATAATATTATTATGTGAAATAACAAAGCATGTTTCGTAACGATTCAAATGTTTTCATGGTAGGTACCTGTATATTATGAACAATTTTGAATTTATATTTTTTCCGTTAATGATCTGTAGACGTATTCAAAATCGCTCCACTTTAGTCATAGGCAATTGTATCATTAATCTGTCGTATTGCAAAAGTCACTAATTGTTATTATTTAGAATTGTACGTGTTATATTGACCATTAGATAGTTATTAGGTATTATGAAAAATTATATTATTTTATTATTGATTTGTACACCTTCCAATTCATATGTATAGATATATTATGTGTTATGTTAACTATTATTTAATTCGTATTTGTATTTAAAATAACCCTAGAAATTAAAAATAATTCCATGTGAAATTAATTAATTAAATTACATTAATTTGTGATTTTGATTGAATTGAAATGTTATAGAAATTGTATAATAATTATACTTGTGTACAATCAATGAATATGTGTGAGCATTTTTCGCATATAACTAATTTTGTTTTTATTTCTGTTCTTTTTAATATTGTTTTATTCGTTTTTTTACTGCCTGTACCGATCATACATCGACTGGTAAAAGGAAAAAGGGGCCAAGTGACATTTTTACTACTTTTCAGAAGAGCATAAACAAGATTTCTCACTATTCTCATATTTAGCAGAAAAAGGGAAAATAAGGTAAGCAACATGGTGTACATAACGGTACGACCGAAAGTTAAAGCATTTAATTATACAAGAACTTGGTGTTCCTCTGACTAGTAATGAGATAGTTAATTTATTTACCATAATTCGTTACAAATGATACTAATGAATATTGTGTTCACCCAACGACAAATCCATAGCTTTTGGTCTCTATTTTTATCTACTTTTTATAATGTTAGTTATAAATAAAATATTTGATAGAAGTTTTATATACAATTAGAAATACACATTTTTCAAACATTATACTATTTTAACAATACTGACATTTTTAAAATTTCCAATAAATAGTTTAATATTGCCATTAATATTTTTAAAAAATATTTTGGGAATATTTTAAAATAAGATCATGTGATATGATATGATATGATTATTTGATTTAATTGGGCGATAAAGATGAAGACTGTTGGAAATGAACCAGTTTAAACTTAAGATGAAGAAACTTAAGAAGAGACAATTAAAGAAGAGGCTCTATAATGAAATGCCATAATATTAGTAGATATTACTGTTAAATCTGAAATAATTACTATTAGTTTTAATTATGTTAATATTTACTCAAGTTTTGATTTAATATAAAATGTTATTTAGCTAATTTTGGCTTTTACTAATCAACACATTGTGTGATAATATCTTCATGTGATTTTGTTTTCAACCGTTTACATATAAGTTGAGTTTACATAATATATTCATTTAAAACGACTGGACCTTTAGGTCTAAACTTCTTCTGAACTAACTGTCTGTTAAACATTTCCGTTATGTGTGTGTGTGTGTGTGTGTGTGTGTGTGTGTGTGCGAGAGAAAAAGCGGACATTTTCAAAAAATGATTGAAACAACAACGGAAATCAATCATGTCTCATTTTCGAAATGATAAAATTATATTCAGGGATAAGAGGGAAAAAATAAAAAATAATAATAATTTTTATAGCTGTAGATTTATGAGGAAACACGTCATGTAGTGTGGAGTGATAAAACTGTTTGACTGGAACTGTATCAAGCAGATGGCAAGATCATTCCATTTATATATATAAACACACATTTTTTTTTCTTCACTTCTCTTTTACTTGTGGCACTACATCACTACTAGCATTTACCCACTTGTGATTGATGACTTGCGGTTTTTGCGAAATATTATTCGTTTTTAAAATAAAATATATTCATTCGTGTTCGTTGACAGCTCCGAGTGTATACGTGCTCAAAGACAAGGCTTATCGTTTCTCCTACTTATATACGTGTGCAGACATCTCAATGATAATACGTGTAACAATGAACGGTGCGGAATCGAAATTTACTTAGTGTGTTAGAGATAAAGTGAAAATAAAAATTGTTTTCGGAGCATATATATTATTTTTGTGTAGCGATGTAAATCAGTTATAAATGGTTATTATTTTATCGGTTTCAATTTTGTGAGTATAAAATATCGTTTTAGTTTAAATTCGATAAATATACTGCTATATTGATTTCGTATTAAAATTTTACCAGCCGTCTACAGACAAATCTATATTTTTATACGTGAATTATTTCTAACAAGACATTTGAGCGATTTAAAGTTTTAAATGTTTTTACCTTGCAATGGCCCAATTACTAAGTTAATTAAAGTTAAAAAAAGTTAATGTATAAATTGTCCAGGCTAAATTGTGTAATTTTTGAAAGAGTTATACATACAAGAATTCAGAATGGTATTCGTGTATTATTAATTTAGTGTTATTAAGACTTAAGTTCCTAAGATTAGCGTTTATTCGTGTAACACTTTTTTTTTTGTCTATTTAGTGCATTTAATTTTTAATTGCACAAAAATAACAAATTAATTTTGTTTTACATTATTTTGTACAAGTATTACAATAAATTAATGTGTTATGATAATGAAATATAGTAAATAGCCTGTTGAAATTGGTATAATACATTTAAGTAGCACACTTAATAATGTGGGGTAAAATAAAATGACTTCTTTTATCTCAAAACTTATTTTTAATTGAATATAACAAATTCATGTGTTATGGTTTATAGCTCATTATAAATAACAATAAGCTTAAAAGTTTAATTATAATATTTATTAATTTTTAAATTAATTATACAAATAGGGAATCGGTCATTACTAAAAAAATTTGGGATAAAATTATTCGATTATATCATATACAGATTTTAGAGTGAAGGTTGAAATTCATGGTTTAGACCGGTTAAGTTGTAATATTTGAAAATTTTATATTTTGAATTGTCATTTTGACTCATCAATAAAAATAATTCTGAAGAAAAACTACTAGAAATATAGCCGACATTTAGAAACTATTTTACTGAAACATGACGGAGAACGAGTCGCAGATTTCGGTGATAACCGAATTGACCTTTATGAAACTGTAAGCATAAAACATAATTGGTTACATGCATATAATGTTTTGGTTCAGAATATAATGTGTGACAAGAGTGATGTATCAAGTTATTATTTATACTATATATTTTTATCTGTTATCATTGATTTTAATAAAATGTTCATAAATATAAATATTTAAATATATAATATATATGTCATATATTCACGTATGAATGAATGTTTATATTTTGTGCTTTATGATTGTAAACTTTCAAGTTTAGTGCATAGTAAATAATCAAAAAAATAATAAAAATAATCATTATTGTGATTATGCAGATATTTGTTATATGTCATACCAGTGTGTGACATACGATTTTTGTATGCGATCGTAATATTTATTATACGTTCTATATTCATGGATAACCGTAAGTGTACCATGTATGAAGTACGTTGTAATCGCATCGATAATGGGTCCGACGACGATTCTTGAGCGTTACGATAGGAGTACGTCTTATAATTTTTGTCTAAAATTGATTCCGAACAGCTGGTTACGGTCTTTGACGAGTAATTAAAAATTTCACAATTCATACATGTAAGTTCTGTTATTTTTATCGGATGCACCCGAAAAGATAGACTAATCACTTCTCTGAATACTAACAAAAGTAATTCTGTAGAATTGCAGGAAATTGTTCATGAAATTAATAATGGCGTAGACATTGTACAAATAAGTTTTGTTCCCATAGTATCTGTTTTTGTTAATTCGGTAAATTAAAATATTATAAAAACAATGCAATGGTTTAAAAGTTTTTTATTTTAATTAATATTATTTTATTTATTAAAGATTTATTTTAAATTATCGCAAAAAAAAAAAATAGAGTACTTTTAAATTTTTTTTTAAGAAACTCTTATTTTAACAAAATTCTTTTGTAGCCAGTTTTATTTTATTTATAATATTTATGATTCAATCAGATTTGATAATGTTGATTGATATCTTTTTAGTAGGGCGAAACGTAGAATGTATTGTTTTATTTTAAAATTAAATTTGGAATGCTCATGTTACTTTCTACTATATTGA